GAAGGTGTGGGTTCTCTCCTACAGATTCCTCTAGTAACAGCTTTGCCGGAGGGCCTGAGCCTGCCTCCGCCTCCCGGCCTCCCGGCTTCCCAGCGGTGAGAGACAAACACACAGGCAGTGGTTCTTTCTAAGCAGTTCTGATTTATTGGGGAAATTCAGTTTCTTATACAGGGTAAGGAGTAGCCTCGGGCCAGGAATTTTAAGAATTCAGGAGGGGAGAAACTAGGAGTCAATTGCTAGGAGAATGATTGCGGAAGCCACCTCCCATAGGCCAGGGGCAGGTGAGTGAAATAGTCCTGGCCAATCAGTCTTTCTTTGAAACAACATGACACCTGCCCTGGTTCACACCCAGGGCTCTGTCCTTGGCCTCCATCTTGCTCACCACAGGTAACCCAGTGACCTTGACTGTTAGTCTCCATCTTATTGACTTAGTGACCTCTTTGCTTCTGAGCCCCACAAGAAGGGATTTCTAATGTTTTCAACACAAGTATTTGTAGCATTTGTAGATATACTTACCTTGCTTTGAGATTAAACAATGTATACATGGATTGAAATATCACATTGTATTCTAAATATACACAAATTTTCCATGTTAATTAAAAGAAAAATATTTCAAGTGTATTGAATTTCTGTTTCTGGTCATAATAGACATACTTCCACTGCAGATTAGTATAAATCATATACAAAATGTATAAAACAGTATTTGTCCTCATTGAATAGCAGCTGAACAATAGACTACAATCCTTGGAAAGGAATAAATGTATGAAGCCAAAATTCTCAGGCCTGGAACAATGGCTTAATGGCTAAATTCTTGCCTTGCAAGTGCCAGGATCCCATATGGATGTTGGTTTGTGTCCCTGCTGCTCCATTTCCCAGCTAGCTGCTCGTGGCCCGGGAAAGCGGTAGAGGATGCCCCAAATCCTTGAGATGCTACACCCTCGAGGGAGACCCAGAAGAAGCTCCTGGATCATGGCTCCAGATTGGTTTAGGTCTGGGTGTTGCAGCCATTTGGTGAGTGAACCAGTGGATAGAAGATCTTTCTCTTGTTTCTCTGCTCTATAAATCTGATTTACCATGTTGTAGGAAAAGAGAACCCCAGTCCCCCAGTCCAGAGCATCAGTTTTGTCAAATAAGGAATTTAGAGATTTGAATTTGTGTCTGGTAGATTGACAGAGTTGAAGCTGTGGCCCTGAAAGCAAGGGAGGCATAGAGAGCAAAATTCAAGGAAAAAGAATGGTGATTCATCTCAAGTCCTTAGATAACTCTTGGACTATGGCTAAGCAGAGGGACTCCCAGAGGTGAGAGAAAGAGCCCTAATTGGAGCTGAGAGCTAAGCAGACAATCCAGAGCTGGGCACTCACAGCACACATCTTGATAAGGCTCCTGGGCAACTTAAGGGACCCCACTCAGTCAGAGAAAGGGTTAAAAACAAAACCTAGAATAGACTACAGTAACATCACATAAACTTAAGGTAAAATTAATGTTTAGTAACTTAACCGCTTGCCAAGAAAATAGTCCTTTTTAGAAGACAATGTATTGCATAAAAAGGCTTAGAATTTGGTAAAAAAAAAAATTAGACTCAGATTGGAAATGCATTTTGTGATTAAGTGATAAAATAGTCAGTAAAAGAAAATCTAGAGTTGGATTTAACAAGACTTATTTATACAGTTTTCTATGTGCACATATTACTTCAGCTGTTAACAGGTCAGTATAAATATTTAAAGTCATGCAAATAATATTCTATACAAAAAAGCAGGCAATAGAGAAAATAAGCACAATTTGATGTATCAAATGGTGACCAATTTTGTGGAGAAATAGAAGATTCAGGAATATATAGGGAGTGTTAAGAGGGTGAACTTTAAGTAGGATACCAGAGAGGGAAATTAAAACAAAACAAAACCATGAATATGGGGTTGGCAGAGAGGGAAATTAAAGATGACATTCATGGATTGAGCTTGAATTTTTCTGTTGCTTTGAGATAGGAAATGCACAAGGAATAGAGTTATTTGTAGTTATTTGGAGAATATTTAGTTTGAGCTTTCTGAAAGATTTATATTTCGCAGTAGGCAATTTTACAGGTGGATTTGGGAAGTAGAAGATACCTATTCTAGATATATAAACTTTGAAGTGATCAACATATGATTACCAACTGTGACTAATGGGCGTTATGATACTGCAGGTTAAACCTTCATTTGGGATGCAACATTCCACCTTTTAGTGCCTGGTTTCAGTTGCTTTGTTTCCAGACCAGCTTTCTGTGAGTGTATCCTAAGAGGAAACAGATGATGGGTTGAGCACTTGGGTCTTTGCCACCCACATGGGATATCCAAATGGAGTCTCAGGCTCCTGGCATCAGCTTGGCCCAGCCTTGGCTTTGGAGGACTTTCAGAGAACTAACCATCTGATGGGAGTACTCTCTCTCTCTCTCTCTGCCTATATGCCTCTTGAGAAGATGAAATTAAGTAAATCAATGTTTTAAAAAGAAAATTTGACTAACAGCTGCTATGTAATATGAGAAAGGAAAAGACGTAAAGCTCCTTAGAAATTAAGAGACTTAAGATACAAAAATAAAATCATACCCCCAAAGCAAAAATTCAGTTCACATTTAACCACATATGTAGCTATATACAGTAGTAGTCTCACTTACTGATTATATCACTTAGTTATGTTGTCGCCATAGGAGTTTGAATAAATATATTCCATTGACATTTATATAACAGTTAAATAACCTAACAACATATTTCTGTATTACTGCATATTGAAGAGTGAAAAGCAACTGGCTATATGAAATACTCTAGTATAATATGTTGTCATAGAAGAGGAAGTAATCAGCTGAGCCAAATGCTAGAAATGAAATTAAATAAACACTGGAAATGTTTTCTTGTATTGTGAAATGAAGAACTGGGTGAAAATTCTATTTAAGATGTAAGCAGAAATGTGAAGGAAAAAATACATTGTTTTACAGACAAATCTGAATCTGGATATAGAGGGCACTGTTGGAAGGGGATTTCACACCTAGGTATTTGAAGGATGTGTGTGTACCTGACTTCTAACATGATTGTCATAAACAGATTTAAGTGTCCTTAAATACTTTTGCAGGATTCAGTAACTGTGCAACCAAATTGGAAACAGATCACAGCATGGCAATGTCTGGTTAGGAACATGGTTTTCTAATTTTGGGGATAACTCTTCAGAGTCACCTGGGGTACAGAAGCAACTTTGACTCTGGTTACATATCATTGTCAGTGATGTCATTGTCGTGCCTTGCACACCCAAGACTTCCAGGCTTATCATGGATTCTTTCTTATTTTATTTGACACAGGCTTTCTTCATTCAAGATATTCAAAAGAGAACAACTTCTGGAAAATTTTCCTTATTCAGTTAACATTGGATGAAGTGAAGTTTTGACCTGCTTCAGTTCACATAAATCTCAAATAGAAAGAAATCAAAAATTTACCATAGCCACATTTTTTACATTGGGATCTAAGTTAGTGCTAAATGGCTGTTAAATTTATTCAGCTTTCACATACATAGTCAAATACTGTGCTGGTTTATATGTTTGATTCTTCAACAGCAGCAATCTTAAAAGGTTTATTGTAATGCAGAGTAACTACTCACTTAAAATTAAAGTAATTGACATGTTTGGCAGTCATTGAGTACCTCCATCACTTTTATAGCAGTATAGAACTTGTATTCACAGGAACAACATACACATATTCTTTAAAGTTCATTATCTTCTTTAGTCAAGTTTAAAATAACTTTTTGATATAAAATGGTCCTTGTTAGATTCCAAGGAATAAAGTGATAAAGGTATTAGAATATGTCTGAGAGCTTTTCGATGTCACTCCAAGAAAAACATAGTGAGAAATTTTAAGGTACATGCTTATACCATTGGTAATGAATCGTGCTAACAACTAACCATTCACTGGGTACATTAGAGCTGAATATTCAGGCAATCTAACATAAGTCAAACCAAATTATTTAACCAACAGCTTTGAAAAAGAAAAAAGAGAGAGATTTGCCTATACAAAGTACATATTTTCCCAAGAACCATCCACTAAAACTATTGCTATCTAAGGCATTCAAATTTTCACACTATCATAGAAATTCTTTCAGGATTTTAATGCTTTTGGCAGACTCAATTTGTTATTTGTCTTGATATCTTTTCCATTGGAGATACCTAGTTATCTTAAAGTGTATCTTTATTCATGAGTGAATACAGATTGTCAAGAAAGACAAACTCTTTCAACAATTCATTTTGAAGGACTAATGATTATTGTATATACTGCTAAGGCTCAAAGTGATCACATAACATTTAAGCAGTCTTTGTTTTGATAAACTTGAAAACAGGGCAGACTTTATGGGAATCGTGCTGCTCTACTGTAACTAGCTGGAGTGTATGCAACAGGATCATCTGTTACGCTCCTCAAAGCCTGGGGGTGGGTGACGCATTTTAAACAGGCTGCAAGAACAAACTGAAATTTTGTTCCAGGAGTTCTAGATAATCTGGAAACACCTTCAGATATAGTGTCATTTAGTGTGTGATTTGCCTTTGGTGAAGTTGATGTTTGAAAGATGAATACATTTTGTTAGTTTGATATTTGGGGGGAAGTGGAAGTCAGATTTCCACTGCCAAAGCCTAAAAGTAGTTTATGTAAATGCCCAATTTCTATCTCATGTATAAGCACATCTTCAAAGAAACTTACATAAATTGACCTAGAGTTCTGTAGGATTTGGAAGTGTGGTTAGAAGACTAGAAGAGAAATAATCAAGCTTTTCACCCTGCTTCCCAGGAGTTTTTTGCACATGTGAAATTGGCTGCTACCCAACCTCGGGTGGTCTGGAATAATGACCGTCTTTCTTATAAGCCAGACAAACTGAGGCTTCCTAAAGGACAGCTTTGACCTTGGCTTCCCTGCCCCTCCCAAGTTTTTTTTTTAAATTAAGATATTCTATACTAGTGTTTTTTTTTTTCTTTTTCCTCAAACTTGCAGGCCTTTCAGAAGACATCCAACAAGTTTGGGCTGAGAAGTATCAAAATTAGCTCTGGTTTTAGAGTGAAGAGTCCCTGTTACCCTTGGTCTGTCATGGGGAAGATGACCTAGACAAGGTTTACTGGATCATAATATTTCCTGGCCACTTATGTTGGATCCTGAGTGCTGTGACTTCCCGCAGAAACATTCAGGAGTCTGGATTTTCCTGATGTTTGTGGTAAGAATATTATTTATGGAAGCATGTTCATAGCTCTTTGTGACTCTTCTGCAGCATGAAAGTCAAGAAGTTGTCCCCTACATATTAATACATTCAAGGGAATGAGCAGTCATTGAGTCAGGCATTTCCAGAGCTAAATAAATCATAAGCTCATTCTTATGGTTTAAAGCCACACCTGAACAGCTCCTGGCCAAATGGTGATTTTGCTTATGGTGGTGGGTTTTGTGACAGCTTGATGGAGCCAGATGATGGTCAGATATGCTTTTATCAGCTTTTGGTCAAACATTATTCTCAAAGTTTCTGTGAATGTTCTTTTGGATAAGGGTAACATTGAAATGGATAGAAATGGAGTTAAAGAGGATTGCTCTCCATAATGTGAGAGAACTTCATTCAATCCATTGAAGGCTTACCTAAAACACTCACCTGGCTGGCAAGAGAGAGAGTTCTGCCAGCAGAAACGTGTGGGCTCCAGCTGCCTCTCCCTGGAATCTCCAGCCCTTTGGCTCACCCCACCTGACTGAGACTCACCCAGTTGCCGCAGTTCTGTGAGCTAATTCCTCAAATTATATCTCTCTCCCATTGTTTCTTCACCTATAAGATGACAGATATGGTTAATAAATCTTCCAAGTCCCTTGCATTGTAAGATGACTTAGTTTTCTAAGTCCCTCTGAGGATCCTTTCAGCATAGTGAGATTATATACAAATGTCTTGAAATTAATGCATACATTATTCATAAAGTATATTTCCATGAGCTTTTTAAATAGCACTTTATGTATCTGTTTTTTAATCTTTTTAGCCAAAAAATGTTTCTCAAGGATTAATTTTATTTTTTTGAAAAGCAGAGTTACACAGATACACAGAGAGCGGTTGGGGGGGAAGGGGATAGAGAGAAATCTTCCATTTGCTGGTTCACTTTTCAAATTTTCAAATGACTACAACTGCTAGGGCTGGGCACAGTTGAAAATGGTAATCCAGGAGTTTCTTCCAGGTTTCCCATGTCGGTACAGTGGCCCAAGAACTTTTTCCAGACTGGTTAGGAAGTGGAGTAGCTGAGATCTGAACAAGTGCTAGATTCTCAAATGGTGGCTTAACCTGTTCTGCCACAGAATCAGCCCCAGACTTATTAATTCAATTAAAATTCAATTTTCTGAAGCACCCTCAGTATATGTTATAAAAGTGTGTATATATATTTATACATACACACTTATATCTACATATCTTTTTTATTATATTATTGGAGAACTTTGAAATAAATTGCTTAATCATATAATTAAGATAGTGTTTGACAAATGATAATAACCCTAAATTAGTGAATGAATGAAAATAAATACCAGAAATTTATTTGGTAAAAATTGTTTAATAGTAAATCTGATAATGAAGAATGATCTTAGGGTGCATTGTGGGTAAAGCCACTAATTGCAACACTGACATCCCACATGAGTGCTGATTCGAGTCCTGGCTGCCCCACTTTCCATCAAGTTTCTCATGGTTGTGCCTGGGAAAGCAGTGTAAGATGGCCTAAGTGCCTGGACTTACCCCCATATGAGAGATGCAGAAGAGCTCCTGGTACTAGCTTCAGAGTGGCCCACCTCTGGCCATTGGGAGTCAAACAGCAAATGATGACTCTGCTTTTACATAAACAAATTAATAAAGAGTGACTTTTTAGTGCTTTTTAATCCAAAATAAGTTGAAAATTGGATAAAGTGAAACATTCTCTAGTGAATTTTAGCACTTCTTGATTTAAAAGATGTAAAACTTTAGGGAAAAATGAAGCTTGCATTCTATTCTTGGTATCGGTTGCATTAGATTGATAACTGTTGCACTCAGTAGCCTCCAGATATGGCTTAAACTACACAAAGACAAATGTGGGTCCATTGATCTTTCAATTCTTTTTGAGAACCCATCCAATATAATCATTGTGAATATATCACTAATAAGGACTGATTTTATAATCAGAGCTTGTTACAGTGGTATTGTAGCATAGTTCAAGTTGTTTATTCTACAAGTGCTGTGTTACCTGGTTCATGGGGATTTAGGAGTTGTAGTCATTGAGTGGAGGTATATGATTATTTCTTGGAGTAGTTGTTGCAGGGAAAACATAGACGTTTTTCTATTGGTTAATTAATGTTAAAATTCTCCCCCTCCTCCCACACTATTCTTTTAGAATGAAAGAAAGAGAATCTAAATTGTAACATGAATAAAGTTCTCTCATTTATTGCTCTGCCAGAGTAGGAACTTGGTTGTTGGCCAATAACTTAATGTCTTGAAAAAGCCATAGGCATTTTGTAGCCCAGCATTTAATATTACCATTTCACAAATCTGATTTAATTTTTCGATTTTGTTGCCTGTTTGGGCATTCAATAAAAGTTTCAAATAGTAAATCTTTAATCACCCAAATAGCATTTTATGCCTGATCTCCAAATGTGTTTCTGCTATAGAATGTGAATTCTCTGTGCCATATTCATTGAATGAAGAAACTCAACTGAAAAATAAAAAACCATTGCCATTGTGAGTCTTATCAAAGGACAAAGGAAAATATGTTCATTTTAGATACAGTATGAGTTACGGAGTGCCCGCTTTTATTGAACATTATAAGAAAAATTTCAAAACAACTAGATGTATATTAACTGGAGTTTCAGTAAATGTTACTTGTGCTAAAATAAAGTTGCTTTTATTGGTATTAACAACTCAGCATTTTCCTATCAGAAAATATAGAAAAAGAACATCTAAAATAGTAAGAATCCCACCCACCCAACAACTATGCTTACTTATTGCATTGGTTTTAATTCTTTCCTATGGATTTTTATACTTTTCTGTAGTTCATTCCTCTCCCACCTGTCCAACTAACATAAATATATGTATAAAACAGAAGTCCCCATGGATGGCTAATCTGTGACATTAACAAAAGTCTTCTTTTCCTGATATTTAGATTGTGACATTTCCCAACTCCCACATGCCTGTCATATGAAACCCTGATTTTTCATTGTCATTTGGTGTTTATAGGTTGTGGGCAGGAATGTCAAGGGTTCTGATTCAAGCCGTCAGAACTCTCTGGTGGATTTAAGCTCTGCAGAAATTAGAGAGTAATCAACATTACCTTACCTTTTTACTCCCATAGCAACTCTTCAACAAATAAAAGAGTGGACACACACCTATACCAAACTAGTAAGTCCAGAGTTGGAGGCATCTGCAATTATTTTTCAGCATGCACGCACACACTCCCCTCATCCTTCCTTTCCGGTGTACACTCTGGGTATACTCAGGTGGGTTAATCAAACATGAGTTCTGCACAATCCTTGAAGCCAACACCTATGGTTAGTTAGTTGTCGAGAGAGGGCATCAACCTTACTAGGCTGGATCTGACTGCTTTAGATTGTTTCCAGTTCTGGTTGTTTTTCCCCCATCCAGGCCTTAGCCTGGAAACATCCAGCTCATCAGATCTACTTGAGTTTTGATCTTCTTTTTCCTCTAGAAATGATCTTGACACCTATGAGAATTCATGGGCATAAATAAGCACCTGGGGTATGTAGGAACCTGCCTTTTTTCATCAAGTGTGAGGCTTTGCAGGTCAAAACACACATAGCCATCATTCCCTTTTCTCAGCATCACATGTGTAGTGGCCTTCCAGTGACCTTTGTATCGGAGAAGGTCAGTAGCGTACTGCTTATATAAACAGCCTCTGGATTCATGTAGCTCACACTTAAGCTCTGCTCTATCATTTTCCTGGTTGATGGCCTTGTGAAATTTATTCAGCAGCTCTGTTTAATGTCCTCATCAATAAAACAGGGCAGATAGTAATCACAGTATTCTCATATGTGGTTATGAGGATTAAATGCATGAATATGCACTCAGCTCTGTTCTTGGCACAAGTGTGTGCTTTGTTAATGCTATCCATTATGACCACAGTGATTCTAATAATTAAAAGAGGCAACTAAAGTAGTTTTTTTCCCAAACGCCCAAAGGAGGAATGAAACATTATCATCAAAGATAAAATATTGCTAATGAATTTTAAATATTTTCTCCTTTATACTCACAATAAATAAGTCAAATCATTGGTGCCTCGTTTTGTTTTATCTATATTATATAGATATGACTAAAAACATGTTTTTTAAGCATACATCGTTTTCTAATCTGCTATTCATAGCAATGTAGTGTGAAATTCTTTTGGTCAGTAGCTGTACTTTCAAGATATTTTAATTATGTTTTTATAGGAGAACTATACCAATTCTGTGATGTCAGTAACAATAATGGTAAAAAAAAAAATGGTTACAGGTAGATGGTCACATGTGTTCTCCATAATTTTCTTGAAAAAAAAAATCTCAGAAAGGAAATTTTAAAACTTGTGAAGTATCTTGCTAAATTGCCCCAGAGGCATTTACTGTTGTATACCACTCAACATCTGTACCCTGGGATAAATAATTTTTAAAAATCCAGTGCTAATAGTTTTATAGGCAAAGGCACGTTGCTTTCATTATGTGCCCTTATTCAAAATTGTTGGATGACTTTATTTCTGAAAGTTTTACATTTCTTGTTTTGTAAGTCAGTTACATTCTTAGCTCATTTTTCCTTTGATTACATTGAAAGAACTTTTTGTCTGATGGAAAGTCACAACAAAGATGAAAAGTTTAGTTTATTCAATTTCCTGTAACTAGTGATTTTTTTCCCCCTGAACTCCTACTTAGGGAAAGGTGTGGTAGTGAGGAAGAACTTAAACTTTAAAAAAAAAATTTTACTTCTTTTTATTATTATCATTTTATGATACAGTTCCATAGGCCCTGGGATTTCCCTTATACCCTCCCCAAATCCTTCCCCACTCACTGAATTCTCCTATTTCATTACTATAGTATAGTTCTTCACACATAGTCATATGTCCATCAATATGGGCATGGACAATGGCAGAGAGTCCAGCATCTTATTGTCAAGATACAGTAAATAGTTTCATTGGGAGTCCATCTATGTCTGGAAGTAGAGATGCATACTGCATTGTATCCTCATATCTG